ATGATTTTATTGAAAAAGAAATGTAAAATTTGATTTCCATGAGTTCTTTCTGAAGTTGGCCTAGATTTTCCTGGGAGTCATCAGAAATTAAGCAAGCCACTTCACCATAGTTTTTCAATTTTCTTATCTAAAATTGGGGACTGGAAAAAACTCTAAGTTTTCTTCTAGTTGTATAAATGATGATGGTAATACATACTATTTTTTCCCCCAAAAGCTTTTATATCTATTTTTTTTTTATGGTCTTAATTTACCTTCACAGATATCAAAATAGTAGGTAGGACTATTTCTGTTATTCCCATTTAGTGCTGAAGAAATGAATTAATTAATCAGCTAAAAGTAAAAACAGTTTTGTTTTATTTAAAAAATATTATTTAAAAAGTTATTTAAAATACAATTTGGTTTAAAATTATCTCCTGTAAAAAAGTATTCTCTTAAAAACATAGTCCTCTAAGAACTTTTCTCTCATGCCATAAAATAATAATCATGCCCTCTATCCACTGAGAGGGTTTTAAAAGTTGTAAGCCACTAGAAGATTTATGAGGATAAAATATGTGATCAAAATGCCTCCCCCCAGCACACATGCATGTTCTACCAACAAAGATCATGGTTTAATGTAAATTAGAAGTTTTAGTAGGGTTTTACTCAGCAATGCAAAATAAAGAAAAGATCAATAATTTATATTTTTGGTACATGATATAAAATGATACTAATTCATATTTCTGTTGTGATGGTTTCATGTCATAGACAATTTGAAGGGATATTTGAGTTTATCTATCTTAGGTATGTTTGTACATAACTATAGAAGACTAGTTTCTTAGTGCAAAGCAAAGAGGGCATGAAGGAACAAAATTTTTGTTTTTCAAATGAGTTAACATTTAATTAGATTCCAAGGTGTACTAGGTGCTGAAAAAAAGCACAATTAGATTGCATTACTATGTGTGGGCTTAAAGGAAGAAGTAAATAAGCCTGTAGCGCAGCACAATGAGAACTATCTTCTCTTTCCTTTAATAGTGTATTTCCCCCTGATTTTATGGTAATTCATGTGTGTAACAGTAAATTTGAGAATACAAAAAGATAGAAAGAAGAAAAAATAATATATCACCCAGTGACCAAATATTCAAATATAGTTAATATATGGCATATTTACTAATTCTTCTTTTTTTTTTGGTCAAAATTCACTTTTATTAATAGAATGTAAAACACTTACTCCAGTTTTAAAGTTGTTTTACTGAAAGTTGCAAATAAAAATGAATTTAAATTAACTACTTAATAACCTTGGTTTGACTGGAAAAAAATGACAATAAAATTGTGGTGTTACAGAATTTACCAGGCAACTGAAAAATACACAGAGTACCTGGAGATAAGGAAAAACCCATTTATTTCCAGATGTGTCACCTGCACTAGTACAGTGACTCAGGGGGGTAGGTTCTCCAAATCCTGAGTAAGCCAATATGGAGGAAGCTTTCCCTTTATACCCTTTGGTTTCTTTGTCCTCCATCTACGGAACAGACTTCCGGATCTTCCTCAGGCTTTGCAAAAATCCCTGTGTGTTGGGATGGGGGACATGAGACCACACCTGAAGGCCTGGTCTGGCGCCAGCCCGGATAACCCCCTCCGTGGGGTTGTGCTTTATTCATGGTTTATGGCCTCTGTAAAATGTGAGTATTTAGATAAATAGGTCTTGTAAGACCAGATAATTAAGGAAGGGCAAGTGACGAGACTACATGCTAACAGGAATATACTGATTAACTAGGTACAGAGTAAGGCTGCTGATTTCCCCTCCAAGAAATGTCTTATTTTCCTCATCATTGGCTTCAAAAAAACTACTGACGCTGACCCATGAGAAGTTAAACAGTCATCATAAAAAGAATCAATTTAGCCTTGGCCCATATGGCTTAATTAGTTGAGTATCATCCCCTGCACAAAAAGGTTGCCCATTCCATTCCTGGTCGGAGCACATACCCAGGTTGTGGGCCCAATCCTGGTGTGTACATTCATCCTGGTAACTTGGACTATGTACATTCTACCTCAGGAGGAACCTTCTTGTAAGCAGTGAGGTATGAAGAGTTGGGCTGCTTTTTGTTTTTACTGTTAGATTTGAACTTTACAGCTAACAGTAAATCTCTGGCTCAGTTACTATTAGTCCTTAATGTCATGTTATTTTAAGAAATGTGTCAATAGTTTGGATTTAGTCCAATTTATTCAGTAATTAAATATGCTAAAGAAGGGTCACTATTCTATCAGGGTAGATGTCTGCTGGTTGAGTGTCCTTATAAAATATATATAAGAATGTGTAGATAAGTCACACTCTTATGGCATACTTAGAATATTGCATTATTTAAAGCCAAATCTATTTTAACAAAAAGTCTATAATTAGAAGTAAGTGATGAAACTAAATCCAAAGTTGTGACAAGGGAGAATCACTTTTACTTAAAGCTGTGTTACCTGCAGAACTTAAAGGAACATATGCCCTAAAAGCCATTCAAGGAGAGCTTAGGGAGGCACTGGCTTTTCATTCCTGACTATATGATTCCAATTGGGGTTGACCAGAAATTAACATCTCTAAATATTTCAGAAAAGTACATAGAAATGTTAAAAAGTATTTTATGCAAAAAATGTCTCTCTGCATCAGTGGCTATAAATGGTCTTCAAAATTTCTTCTGACACAAAGACAAAGTAAATCTATATACTAAAGCATATGTCAAAAGAATGGGAGGTGGACCATTAGGTCAACCCTTGTTCAGAGCTTCTGCTATCTTTTTACTATATGCTGTTCATCAATGTGAATAAAGTGGATTTTTGTGAGAGAGAAGGATTTGGTGGTCAGGACCTCTTTTGGGTCCTAAGTGGGATATACAACAGAGAAGAGAAGCTACTCTTTCTAGCTTTGAGTTGATAAAACTCATTATGCATTCAAAAAGCAGATGGGATCCATTTGGAGGTCACTGACAGGATGTATCTGTGGTTGACCCAGGAGCTGGACCTGAGCAATCTAAGGCTCCTCCCTACTCCTTTGTTTTTGGAAAGAACATTTTGATCACCAGAAGGGCAGTGCTATGTAAACTCCAAACTGATCATTTGTCATCCATGGAGAAATGGAAATCTATTACTATTGGGCTGTAGAGAACGAGAGGAAGAATTTTATGTCTTAAATTTATAGCAGTGGGAATCCATTCAAGGTTTTTATTTTATTTATTTGTATTACTTATTTATTTATTTATTTTAAAAATATATTTTATTGATTTTTTTACAGAGAGGAAGGGAGAGGGATAGAGAGTTAGAAATATCGATGAGAGAGAATCATCGATCAGCTGCCTCCTGTACATACCCTACTGGGGATGTGCCCACAACTAAGGTACAAGCCCTTGACCAGAATCGAACTTGGGACCCTTTAGTCTACAGGCCAATGCTTTATCCACTGAGATAAACTGGTTAGAGCCATTTAAGGTTTTTAAACATGCTTACTATCGCCTTTTAAGGTCAAGAATGTACCATGAATACCAAGGGTGCCTGATTTCATATGCTGTTTACATTCTCTATAGACTAGCAATCCTGCTTCTAGGGATAAAGGTTATCTATATATATAAAAGCCTAAGTGACTGGTCAACTGGCCAACCATTCGAACATCAGATTGTCTGACCATCTCACTGTCTGACCATCCAACTGGTAGCTATGATGCACACTAACCACCAGGGGGCAGATGCTCAATGCAGGAGTGGAAACCACAGGCATAGAAACATGGAACAGATTGATGAATCTCAGAGAGAAGAGTTATGGGGGAGGGTAGGAAGAGATTAACCAAAGATCTTATATGCATACTAGAAGCCTAGTGCATGGATTCATGCAACTGATGGTGTCCCTCAGCCTGGCCTGTACCCTCTTGCAATCTGGGACCCCTTAGGGGATGTCGGGAGAGCTAGTTTCAGCCTGATCCCTGCAGGTCAGGCTGAGGGACACCACCAGTGCAGATGCTCAATGCAGGAGCGGAAAGTATAAAGGCAATGTAAATATAACACAATAAAAAAAAATCAACAGGTGTATAATTTCCTATAATAGTATAAAAGTATAGAAGCAATGGAAGAAATTACAATGAAAAAAATTGATGGGTTTATAATTACCTATGATTTTAGAATTTCTATGTGTCAAAAGATATCATGAACAAATGAAAGGCAAACGACAGTCTAGAAAACTTCCTCACACATACCAATAGGTGATAATTTCTTAAATGTCTAAAAGGACTTATAAATTATTTTCAATCAGCAAATACATGTAAAAAAAAAAAAAAAAAGAAAGAAAGAAAGAAAAAAAGAAAGAAAACTCAAACAATCACCAAAGAAACAAACACATATACCTTTTGATGTCAAGTTGACAAAATTCTTATTGAAGTCACTGTACTTGATGCTGGTGGTGTTGGCCACATATTGTTGAAACCTCTCAGAAAAGTGGAAATACTAATTCCTTTACTGAAAAACTATCTGGCAACATCAAAAACCTTAAATGTCAATACTTTTAACCCAATAATTCAACTTTTATTTTTTTTTTTTTTTTTTTTTTTTTAATTAATTAATTTATTTATTTTACATATTTTATTGATTTTTTTTTGCCCCCCTCCTTCCCTCCCATGTATCCCCTCCCTCCCCAGAGTTTTATGTCCATTGGTTGTACTTATATGCAGGTATACAAGACCTTGGGTTGATTTATTGTCTCCCCCAGACCCTCCTCCCCTCCCCGTTGTAATTTGACAATCTGCTTGTTGCTTTACTGTCTCTATATCTATCTTTTGGTTCATCAGTTTATAATGATCTTTATTATCCACAAATGAGTGGGGTCATGTGGTGTTTCTCTTTCATTGATTGGCTTATTTCACTCAGCATGATGTTCTCCAATTCCATCCAGGTTGCTGCAAATGATGAGAATTCCTTCTTTTTTATGGCAGCATAGTATTAGATAAATTTACCTAACAAAAATGACCCGAGAGTCCGCACGCGGCGAGAAAAAAAATGGAGGACTCCGCTTCATCCCCGCCCGCAGCCTCCACCGCAACACCAGCCTCCACCGCAGCAACCCCGGCCGCCGTGGGGCAGCTGGATAAAAAACAGGCCAAAAAGGCAGTGGAAGCTCTGTTGACACATTCCAAGTCCAGGAAAAACGCGAATGGATTGCTTTTAAATGAGAACGAAAATTTCTTTTTAATGGTGGTATTGTGGAAAATCCCAAGTAAAGAACTGAGGGTCAGAGTGTCCTTGCCTCATGGCATTCGGTCAGATTTAGCAGATGTCTGTTTATTTACTAAGGACGAACCCAATGTAACTCCTGAAAAGACGGAACAAATTTATAAGAAGCTTCTAAAAAAGCATGGAATAAAAACCATTTCTCAGATTATCCCCCTCCGAACTTTAAAAACGGAGTATAAAGCCTATGAGGCCAAGCTCCGCCTCCTGGGTAGTTTCAACTTGTTCCTTTCTGATGCAAGAATCCGACGGCTCTTACCTTCACACCTCGGAAGACATTTCTATAAGAGAAAGAAAGTTCCAATACCTGTAAATCTTAAAGCCAAGAATCTTTCCAAAGAGATCAACACATCAATAGGTGGGACTGTCTTAAACATCTCTAAAAGTGGTTCTTGCAGCACTATCCGTGTTGGTCACACTGGAATGCAGGTTCAGCACATCATCGAAAACATTGTTGCTGTCACAGAAAAGCTTTCACAGAAATTGCCAGAGAAGTGGGAGAGTGTGAAACTCTTGTACGTGAAAACGGAGAGATCAGTTGCCCTTCCTATCTTTTCTTCATTTGTCAGCAGTTGGGATGAAGCTAAAGGAGTGAACCTTTCTAATCTGAAGAAACAAGAAGCAAAGAAATTACAAAAACAAAAAGAACATAAAAAGAAACAAAAGGAAAAGAAAAGAAACAGAAAGCCTTCGAAGCAGGGCAGAAAGTCTACATCAGCCCTCCCTACAGAGGAGATGGCCCCAAAAACTTGTTCTCCAGTGAAGGGCCCTGGACCCCAGAAGAAAGAGACCCCTCAGCCTGAGAAGAAAGAGACCTGCAAAATAAAAGCCCAAAATAAAGTGCCAGTTGAATCTGAAGAAGAAATTCCATTACTGGTCCCAATAGGAGAAACACCAGCCAAAGGAAAAGTAGAGGTGCAAAAACATGCCACAGGAGAGAAGTCTCCAGTAAAGAGTCCGGGTTCCAACCCACCTCGTGGGAAGAAGAGAAAGGCCTGTCCAGCTTTGGAGATGCCAAAGCACCAGAGCCCAAGACCCCAGGTAAAGGCCCAGGGAAGAAGCCACGAGTCAAAGAGGAAGTGGAAAAGCAAAGAAACTATTCTTTGGGGAAAAAAGACCCAAAACAGACGCCCAAAAAGCCAGAGGCCAAGTTCTTCACTACAGCTAATAAATCTGCAAAAAAAGCTGCTCGTACCCCCCCAAAATTGGGCCAAAAACCCAAAGTGCCCCAGTCAACCTAAAGTCAGTGACTTGACCAGGAGGAAACATCGGAGCTGCCTGGAAAGCTTTTGAAAAATACCCAGGTTCTGACCCCTGTCACAGCCTTCTCCAAGAGTGAGACCTGGCCTTAAAATCTTCTAAGTGACTCTGATGTATCGTGTGTGTAAGAACCAGTAGTTTAAATCCATTAAAAAAATTTTTTTTTATGTATAACCTAATATAATAGAAATTACAGTGCTTTTATTAAAGTGTAACATTTGCTTCTGAGTAAAAAAAAAAAAAAAAAAAAAAAAAAAATGACCCGAGACAAGCACCAAGATTTATTTTATGTGAAGACATTTGTTATAGTGTTAGGTATACTAATAAAAATTTAGAACCACACTAAATATTTAACATGGAAAGGCTTTTAAATTATAGTTTATTTAATATGATAAAATACTATGCAATCCATAAAATCAATTTATATAAAAAAAAAACTCACATGAGTATTCAACAATTTCCTGTAATCATGTGTTTACTAGAAAGCTATATTTCTCATTTGTTGAAAATACTATTTCATCTCTTCTTTTTTTCTTTTTTAAAATATATTTTATTGATTTTTTACATAGAGGAAGGGAGAGAGATAGTTAGAAACATTGATAAGAGAGAAACATCGATCAGCTGCCTCCTGCACACCCCCTACTGGAAAGGTTTTCTCAACCAAGGTACATTCCCTTGATCAGAATTGAATCTGGGACCTTTCAGTCTGAAGGCCAACACTCTATCCACTGAGCAGGGGTGTTTTATATATGGATATTCATGGGGTTAAACTGTTGTTTAAATTGTCGAGTAGAATATTCTTTTCCCCCCATGATATTCTGTAAAATAAGTTATTATATAAAAATCAGGGATTATGGATTTTAAAATATTCTGCACCTCATAAAAAAATAAACAATCTTATGTCAATAACTTGAAATATTCCTTTAATTCAAATGTACTTTCTACATAGAAAAAAAAAATCAGTATTGCTTCAGGTTTTAGATATATGGCTAACCACAATAGCTCAAGTTGAGAATTTTTTTTTTTTTTTGAGGAGTCAAATTTGAAACAGAATATCATCATTAAGCAATCCAAAATTCCCAAAGATGGAACAATGGGCTCTTGAGAGAGTTAGTAACATAAAAATAAGCAAAAAAAAAAAAAAAAAAAAAAAATGAGACTATTGTAGATTATGAGAGACTAAACAGACAGACTGACTTACATTATTCTAATATAGGTTGGATCCTGGTTCTGGTAAAAATAAAGCAGTTATAAAAAAAATTTTGAGAATTGGAGAAATTTAAATATGGACTAAATATTAAATGTTATTATATAACAATTACTGATTCTTAGGTGATAGTAGTTTTATGCTTTTTCTTATTTTTAGAAGATGTGTACTAAAATATTTACTGATAAAATGCGATGATGTTGCAATTTTCAAATGGTACAGTATAAGAATAGGGAGAGAAATTATGGTGAAGTACTCTATCAACGATACTGCTTCCTACTGAGAGGAAAAATAATTTTTTAGAGATATGGGTGATTCTACATCTGGGATAGAAATTTACAAGATAATCCTCAATATTTATTGTGGCAGATATCAAGAAAACTATCAAAGTCTTTTTCAGAAAAAAGACTGAGGAGATGCCTTAGAAGGATTCCACTGGCCAAACATAGGGCAATTTGAGCATCAATAAAGATAAAATCTTTCATAGATTTAAACACGTCAAGTATGTTTAAATCCATGAGTTCCTAGTACACATTAAAAAATAATTGATCATCATTAGAGGGTGGAGAGTTTTGAAAGTTGATTAACAGATGTAGAATTGAGCAGTTATTTTGCTTTTTCTGTTCAAGTAAATGGTAGATGGCAGATAGGGGCCATTTCTCTTTATGGAAATATATTAGCTAAAAATGAGGAATAAAAGATAAAATTTAAATATCAACATTTTGTAACTCCTAATGAATTAATGCGTCTAAATATTGCACATTAATAGTTGCTAACATCATTAAAAAAGAGACAAATAGATATTACAAGCCCCCTAATGGAGGTTTTCTTATCAAAGAAAACATTCTTAAATATTATCAAACTCTTAGGTCTAACTAAAGATTATAAGAAATGTAAAAATCAGGGGAACACATTTAAAAAATAAAATAAAAGTTTCACTGGATGCAATCAGAAAAATCCAGATTTAGAAAATCTATAGAATAAGTACTTAATTTTGTTAATAAATATAATCGTATATAATAAAAGTCTAATACGCTAAGTGTCTAGTTGTCCAGTCATCCATTCAACCAATCAAAGTGTAATATGCTAATGATATGCTAAGGTCACTCAACCATTCACTATGAAGTGCACTGACCACCAGGGGCAGATGCTCCAACCGGTAGGTTAGCTTGCTGCTGGGGTCTGGCAGATCAGAACTGAGCGAGATGGGCTGGACACTCCCTGGAGCCTTCCCATGTCCATCCCTCCCTGGCTGGCCAGCCTCCCATTTCCCTTCCCCGCTCTAATTGTGCACCTGTGGGGTCCTTTGGCCTAGTCTACACCCTCTCACAATCTGGGACCCCTCGGGGGATGTCTGAGAGCCAGTTTTGGCCTGATCTCATTCAACACAGAAACTGCCCACTGGTGGTCAGTGCACTTCCACAGAGGGAGTGCCGCTCAGCCAGAAGCTGGGCTCATGGCTGGCTGGAGAGTGCAGTGTTGGTGGTGGGAGTCTCTCCTGCCTCCGTGGCAGTGCTAAGGATGTCCAACTGCCATGTGGAGCAGGCCAAAGCCGTCAATTGGACATCCTCCAAGATGGACTGCAAGAGGGCACAGGCTAGGCTGAGGGGACCTTCCCTCCAGAGCGCATGAATTTAGTGCATCAGGCCTCTAGTGAAATGTAAATGAGATGAAGAAAGAAAGCTATACCTTAAAGGAGATTTATGTTACTTAATTGCTATTTGTGGGCCATATTTGAATCCTGAGCCAAACAAATATAACATGATGGGACATTGAGCATTAACTGGATATTTGAAAGTATTAAGACATTATTGTTTTTAGGTATTATAATATTTGTGGTTATTTTAAAATTGAGCAGTTTTTATCTTTTAGGCCATATTGAAATAACTACAGATTAAGTAATTAGTGGCCATGCTAATAAGGAGAGGGAGTAGAAATAGATGAAACAAGACTCACCATAAGTAGATAATATTTGAATCTAGGTGATGCACAAATTTTCTTTTTAAAATATAATTTTTATTGATATCCTGTCTATTTTTTATATTGAGCAATTAAGATTTACCTTGGAATGAGAAAGTAAAAATCTTCCTGCCATTGGGTTGGCCAAGATAACAGGCACAGATTAAGCTAGCTGCAATGTTAACTAGAGGCAATTTCCCCCCCAAGGATATGCTGTAGGAATTGCTCTATGGGGAGGGGGGGGGGGGGAGGAGAGTAAAGAGGAAGTTGTTACTATCATTATCTGCATTTTACAGATAAGGAAATTCTGAACGTGGGGATAAAGTGAGTAGCCCAAGGTCATACACTATGGCTTGAGGTCAAGATAAAGTTCCACTTCAGGCACTCTGGATTCAAGGCCCTGTGCTTAGCCACCAGGACATTTATCCCTGGGCTGAGTTTTCCACCCGGGTGTTGTGATCTAGCATGATTAGCAAAGTTTTATTCATACGGAATTTACAAGAAACTTCATGGCTTATTTGATGTGTGCAGATTCAAATTAGGTCTCGGCAAAGAAAAAAAAAAAAAGACAGTAACACCAATGGTTTATACCTCTAGATTCCCATTACGTGTGAGTTGAAACTGCTTGGGCAAATGGAAACATTCAGGAATGATCACCATTCTTCCAAGTGGACAGAAGACTAAAATTTGCAGATGAAAGGGATGGGTAATCATGTTATTGTTCCCTTCATCCATATGCAAAATAGGGAATGCAAATACTTCCTTTAGTGGTTGAGAAATGCTCTCTGTTTCTAAGAAGTGAGGACTGAGAAAATATCTCCCCACTCGATTGGCTGTAGTAAAATTGTTTGATATCTTCAAGCCATATAACTGGCTCATAAGAATGAATATAAAAAGAACCCCAGCATGTTAAAAATCTTCCCTATGCTAATGTGCTTGGATATGAGAAACACATTGATTACATCTGTAAAACAGAAAAGAAAGGAAACTGCACCCTCCAGGATGCAGCAGGGAGAATTTAATAAGCTGCCTTAAATCACTCAACCTACAACACAGCTAAAATGTTAATTAAGCAATTTTTTTTTTTTTTTAAATCCTCACCTCTGCTCTGCTGGCTTTAGTAAAAGCCCGTCTGCCAGCATAACTCTCTACAGGTACCTTTAATTCTGTTTGAAGTTGGTGATCTGGGCTTGGCTCATCACATTCACAGTAGATTTACCTGAAAGATCAATAAAAGCATGTTCAAAGCTAGATTGGCTTCATAGAGCTCAGGATTTTTATTAATTCATATGAACTTCCTAAAACTTTCACCGCAAAGAAAAAAAAGAAGGAAACTTGAGAATATTCACATCGCAAGAAATTGAATTGGTACCATGGAGTTTCAGAATTCCCTCTGAATCCCCTCATGTGTCAGAATTTGCGGAAGCAACAAATGCTGAGTCTTTCTTCAATCTTCTAGGTGGTGTTAGAATCCTCAATCACATCAAAAAGTGTCTGATAAGTGCCAATCTATTTGTCCTGAATTCTGTACAAAGTTAAAGACATAGATTTGTCCTTAGTGAACAGATGCCACTGACCTCAGCCAGCTATTTGTATCTAAGTGTTAGCTACATAACTAGTTCTATGGAAGCGTTGGAGAGAGTCTAGCTAAGAAATTAAACCAGTTAAAGGAGGTCTGTGGGTTCCCTGTGGACAGTTAGAAGAAGCTGGGTCCTTGGACCTGGGAAAAGAAGGGGAGAAAAATAAAGCATGCATTTTGGAGCCAAATACAACCCTGGCCCTCAGTTTCTGTATCTTTGTCCAGAATAAGATAAACTGTGTGATTTACATGAAGAATCTGATTTCTCATTTGTAGAATGTAAGGGTT